GCTGGGTGACAGAGCAAAACCCTGTCTCAAAATTTTACTTAAAAAAAAAAAACACAAAAAAACAGGCTGGGCGTGGTGGCTCACACCTACAATCCCAGCACTTCGGGAGGCCGAGGAAGGTGGATTACCTGAGGTCAGAAGTTTGAGACCACCCTGGCCAACATGGTGAAAACCTGACTTTACTAAAAATACAAAATTAGCCGGGCATGGTGGCAGGTGCCTATAATCCCTGCTACTCGGGAGGCTGAGGCAGGAGAATCACTTGAACCTAGGAGCAGAGGTTGCAGTGAGAGTTAGATAGTGCCATTGCACTCCAGCCTGGGCGACAAGAGCGAAACTCCATCTCAAAAAACATAGATAGATAGATAGATAGATAGATAGACAGACAGACACATATGTATATATATATTTAAGACACAGGTAGGTTAAAAGTTAAAGGAGAGAAAAGGGCATGCCAGGGAAGTGCTGTCAAAAGAAAGCTGAAGTAGTTATGTTGACATGACACAAAGCACACATCAGAACAAAGAACATCACCAGGGATAAAGAAAGACAACAGGGTCAAGTCATCAAGAGGACATAATGACCCCAAATGAGTATGCTCCTACTAACAGAGCTTCAAAATACATACAGTAAAATTCAAAACTTTCATCATTGAAACATGATTAATTGGATGTAGTAAAAATGTTCAACTTTTGATTTTTGAAAGTCACCAGAAGGAGAGTGGTGTTGGCAAGAGGGCTGGCTAGAACTGCCTGGCACTCATCCCCTCCTCCCCACACAGAAGGACCAAGGCAACAAGTTAACAGTGACAATTTGACTGGAATGTCGAAGGCGGAGTGCTGGACTGCAGCAGAGGCCTTGAGACACACCTGTGGTGTTTGGAAGCCCAGGAGGCCTCTGCCGCCCACTCTTCCTCACCCACCAGTTTGACCTAGAAGCAAAGAGGGACTTCCTGTGGCAAGGAAAAGGTAAGCAGATCTCCGCCAGCTGCCACTGTGACAGCAAATGCTGACAGTCCTTGCTGCATGAGAACCCACAGTCCCTGCAAGCCCTGAGCCCAGTCGGGAGCACTGCAGGGAAGTCACACAGCAGCGTTGCCCCGATTAGAGGCACAAGGTGTGCACCTCCCAACCCACACCCAAACCATGAGCCAAGCTGCTATTGCATCTGGAGGGGCTCTGCCCTGGGGCCAGTACCATCTGTACCTCTCCAACGCTGGGGCTCCACCTTCACGCCACCAAGCCCACATGGGCGGCTGAACACCACAACCCCAGCTGCATGGAGCTTGGGCCCAGGCTCAGCTCTAGCTCTGGTCCTGCACAGCAGGGAAACCCATCCCCACAGCAGCTCTTCCAGCTGTCTGCCCCTCCCGCCTGCAGCAAACCCATCCTTGAGCCAGCCAAACAGCTGCAGGCCTTCTGAGGTAGGACCCGCCTGCCTCCAAGCAACTGATAGCAGGAGCTCAAGTCCTGATAAATCAGCCCCACAGCGCCCCCACCTGCAGGTACGCCCTGGCCTGCCCAATGGCTCTGTGTCTCCAATAAGGGCCTAAGAAAAAGTCCCACAGGCTGCCCCTGGCAATATACAAAAATTAGTAGCATTTCTATACACAAACAAAAAACTAGCTGAAAAAGAAATCAAGAAGGCAATCCTATTTCCAACAGCAACAAAAAATATAAAATATCTAGGGATAAATTTAACAAAAGAGGTGAAAGACCTCTACAAGGAAAACTACAAAACGCTGATGAAAGAAATTGAAGAGGGTATGAACAAATGAGTAGACATCTCATGCTTAAGGATCAGAAGAATTAATATTGTTAAAATGATTGTGCTACCAAAGGTAATCTACACATTTAATGCAATGCCTATCAAAATACCAATGGCATTCTTCATAGAAAAAGAAATAATATTAAAATTTGTATGGAACAAAAGACCCCAAATAGCCAAAGCCATTCTGAACAAAAAGAACAAAGCTGGAGGCATCACACTCCCAGACCTCAAAATACACTACAAAGCTACAGTAACCAAAACAGCATGGAACCGGTATAGAAACAGACACATGGACCAATGGAACAGAACAGAGGGCCCAGAAATTAATCCACTTTCTACAGTTAACCGATTTCCAACAAAGGTGCCAAGCAAACTCACTGCAGAAAGGACAGATTCTTCAATAAATTGTGCTGGGCAGTGGCTCACACCCATTACAGCTACTTGAGAGATGGGAGGATTGCTTGTGCCCAGGAGTTCAAGACCAGCCTGGGCAACATAGCAAGACCCCATCTCTACAAAAAGTTGAAAAATTAGCCAAGTGTCCTCTCTTCATGGCCTTCCCCACCACTCTTTGTCCAGGCTTTCTTAACATTAGTGACTCTATTTTGATTCTGACAACTTTCACAGCATGTATTTAGAGCAGCCGCTAGGTGTTCGTTCACAGAGGTGGCTGTGAGCAGTTCCTGGGATCATAACAAGAGTCCATTCTGCTTGGGGCTTACCACAAATGAAGTAAAGACAGGCCCATGGGGACAGGTTGGGCAGAGTGAGCCCCAGATGAGCAGGGCAGGAGAGGGGCCCGCACCCCAACAGAAATGTCAGGCGATCATCAGGTGATGGTCAAGCAGTTGTTAAACTGACTAAAATAATTATTGGTTGCAGCTGGTGCCAGGAAACGGCAGGCTCCCAATAGATAGAAAACACCTGAAGCTGGTGATGAGCTGCTTCCCGATAAGGTCTCAGGTGTTGGCATAGGTGGGAATTGAACAGTGAGAACACTTGGACACAGGGCGGGGAACCTCACACACCAGGGCCTGTCGTGGGGTGGGAGGGTTAACATTAGGAGAAATGCCTAATGTAAATGACGAGTTAATGGGTGCAGCAAACCAACATGACACATGCATACCTACGTAACAAACCTGAATGTTGTGCACATGTACCCTAGAACTTAAAAAAAAAAAAATCTCAGGAGACCTCAGGTGAGTGAGGTCAAGCACGCGCACTACGAGGCAAAGTGGCAAAGTTTAACCAGTGTGTGACCTTCCCCTAGGAACTGGTAAGAGAAGACTGCCTCAAGAGGGCACCACACAACTCCAGTAAGCACACTGTGCCCGCGGCCCTCCCAAGTGCTGGCAGGCCACTGCGCATGCGGACAGCCCACCCCAAGGGAAGAATCAGGGGAGAAGGGATGCAGCCCCCCAGAAGCAAGCCAACATGTAAACCCCAAGTCAAAGGTCAAAACTGTGTACTTGGTCTCTCAAGATGCCCCCCGGCCCTCCTCCAAGTGTACTTTACTTCCTTTCATTCCTGCTCTAAAACTTCTTAATAAACGTTCACTCTTGCTCTGAAACTTACCTCAGTCTTGCACTCTGCCTTGTGCCCCCAGATGAATTACTTCCTCTGAGGAGGCAAAAGCTGAGTTGTTGCAGACTCATATGGATTTCTGCTGCTGACACCAGGAGATGGCGTTCTGGGCTCCCTGCGGCCCTGGAGAGTAGCAGCCTCCCCTCTTTCTCTAGGAGCCCCCTGACTAGGAAATGGCAGTAGGCACTCAGCTCGTTACATTCCATGCCATGGATACCTGTGTGTGCATGAGCCCCAGTCTCACGCAGGGCCCTAGGAATGAGCCACAGCCTCCCTCTGGTGTGAACGGTTAGCTTTTGGGGAACCCTAAGCAGATGCCCACATTCAACTGGCAAGATTCTCAAACACCAGCACACAAGCCAGCCCCGGAGGGCTGCTCATGCGCATGGTGGCACTTATCAATAACTTCTCAACGATGGAAAAATGCTCTTGGGTGGGCTAGAAAGTCCTGTAAGAGCTGTGTCCTTGCAAGAGGAGAGCCAGCAGCCAGGCACAGGGGTCACACCTTGGGCCTAGATGTCCCTGCCTCTGAGCTGCTAGAAAGCTCGCTGGTCTGCCACAGAACGCTTCCGCTTTGCCTCCAGGAAAAGGCCTTGTTATCTGCAAACTCCCAGAGACACCCATCGCAGGATACCCAGCTTTGCCTGAGGGCTCTTGTCCCTGCTTGCCTATAAGTATCTGCAGCTGGGACAGAATCTAATCCACATCAAAACTCAGTGTGAGACTTGCTTTCCTAGAACTACAACCCCAGGGGCAGGTGGTGTGGGCAGAGACAGAGTCCCACCCCGCCCGGTGGACACAACATCTGCTGAATGAGACCAAACATGGGTTTGTGGCCCTTCATCTATATATCCTGCAGATGTGCCGGGCGCAGCGGCTCACGCCTGTAATCCCAGCACTTTGGGAGGCCGAGGCGGGCGGATCACAAGGTCAGGAGATTGCAACCATCCTGGCTAACCCGGTGAAACCCCGTTTCTACTAAAAATACAAAAAATTAGCCAGGCGTGGTGGCGGGCGCCTGTAGTCCCAGCTACTTAGAAGGCTGAGGCAGGAGAACGGCATGAACCCAGGAGGCGGAGCTTGCAGTGAGCTGAGATCATGCCACTGCACTCCAGCCTGGGCGACAGAGCGAGACTCCGTTTCAAAAAAAAAATCCTGCAGATGTTAGAATGCGTGGAAGAGAGAGAAACCCAGCGTCAATGAATACAGAGAGGCAGGAGATCCAAAATCTTCCTTCCCAGAAAAGCCTGGGTGTGAGGTCCCTGAGCTGAGCTGAGCCTGGGGGCGGGCTCCAGTCTGAGGACACCCCACAGCCCTCACAGCAGGGAGTATCCACATTCAGATGCCCTCCTCTTTCCCTCCACCCGCCTCCCAAGGCTGCACAGCAGCTATGGCCTGTAGGGAGAAGTGCGGTTTGCGGGTGCCATTCCTATTTCCTTTGTGTCTGACCACTGCCCGAGGGCCTCACAAAGGAACCAAATCTCTTGGAGCCTGCATTTCCTGTCATCCTGAGTGGCCATTGGAGTCCTCAATGAATAAGGACAGCAAGGGCCAGCTCTTCATGTGAGCTTTCTAGAACATTCCAGGCACTCCATGTACTAACACGTTCCTTGCTAGAGGGCCCTCAAATAATGGAATTGATAAAAGCATTTTAAAATGTTGATAAATTCTCTAACCATAGACTTGGAGCTCAGTGAGTACAAATGCAAGATGTGACTCCCCCAGGCCTAGAAAGAAAGCCGTAGCTTCGGGGATGTGGTAACCTTGGCTCTCCACGGGAGTGAGGCTAACAAAGTCAGCAGAACAGGGTCAAGCAGCTCCTGTTCCCCAAGCAGCCACAGCTGCCTGGCCTTCACTGCATCCAGCTGTGCAGTGGCCGAGAGGGTGCTGCGTGGGGACAGCGGGAGGAGAGGCCTTCAAGACCCAGGCCAGCTAAGCCTGGGGACATAGAAGCAGCCACCACACTCGGGGAGCGTTGAGGGGGACGCAGGAGTTTGAGGAGTTCTGCGGGGTGCTGAATGGGGTCCTCCTCTGGCGCTTTCTCAAGGGAGTTCTGCAATGATCCACATCCTTTCCAGGGACTTTCCGTCAAGTGCTGTCACATGCTGGCACAGCTGGCTGGCAGCCCAGCCTCTGGCGGTCAGAGTCGGGAGGCGACAGGTGCAAGGGTCCCCTTTCCTCATGTGGTTTCTCAACAGGGCACGGGGATGCCCACGAGTGTGCAAACATGTCCAGACCACTGCAGAACCCCGTCTGCTCAACGGGGCAGGGGGATGCCCACGAGTGTGCAAACATGTCCAGACCACTGCAGAACCCCGTCTGCTCAACAGGGCAGGGGGATGCCCACGAGTGTGCAAATCTGTCCAGACCACTGCAGAACCTCGTCTGCTCAGCTAAAGAGGCCCTTCCTCTGTGATCTTTCCCAAGATGGCAAATGTCCTGCACCACCAGCCACCCCTTCCGTTGGCCACTGTGGATGACACTAGGGATGGACACTGACCAAGAAGGTACCAACCTGATTCCAGCTCCTAGAGCTGGCCAGGTGCCTGACAGGAAAATGAGGCATCTGAGGAACACAGAGAGATGGGGGTAGGGTGGTAGGGAGAGGGAGATGAAGCCACACCCCAGAGGTCCTCGGTTTGTAGCTCTTTCCCAAGGCCTGGCTAGGTCCCTGCCTTGGATGCCATGAGACATCCACCCTGGATAGCCCGCCAGTCCCTTTATGTTTGACAGCTGGAGTTGGAATTTGCCTCCCGCAGACCACAGGACTACAGCCTTCATTCACATGTTGCACAGACTGTGGCAGGACCAGCACCCGCTGCCGGTGTGGGATGCTTGGCCCTGTAGGGGCCCCCAAAAGTGGCTGAAGAGCAAGGCGTGATGCCTCTTGGGCCACCCTGCAAACCGCTCACAAGCCCGTCGAGGAGGATGCATTTGATCAGGGTAACTGGAGGCAGCAGAGGGCTTTCCAAGGACAGGTTTGCCAAGAAGGGAGAACAGATTGAAGGGGGAAGGATAGAGGCACTGGGTGTAGTCAGACACCACTGCAGCGGTAGACGAAACTCGCGCAGTGAGAGGACTCTGTGGGGAGGGTAACTAGGTGCATGAGAGTGAGAAAAAAAGACTCGAATGGCTCCGAAGCTCCTGGCCCAGCTTCCAAGGGTTGGTGGCCCAGGACTGCCCCTGCACGCGGCCTCGGGTGCCTGCTCTGGACAGGCCTCCTTCTCCGGCCCAGTCTCGGCACCAATCATTGTCCCATCCGCCAGTCAGCCAAATCCTGAGTTCACCCCGGAGCCCAGCACTCTGATGCAATTGTCCCTGCTCCGAAAACCCTCAGCAATCTATTGGGTCTTCAGTAGCATCTACTCTTTCTAGAAATGCCGAACAAGGTTTTCGATTGTGGTGCGCTTGTGGTACGCGTGTGGCAGACACAGAAAATGAAACGACCTTCCAGAGAACTGGCCAAAGGGCAGGAGCCGCTCCAGTATCTGAAGGGCACGGACTAAGCGCTTCTCACGGAGTCGGGGAGGTCGTCGGCCCATTCACCGGCTGCCCGAGGGCCTCCCACTGGCCTCCCACGGCCGCCCTCCGAGGGGCCGCTGCTGACCTCGCCGTGCTGGGCACGCCTGGTTTTAGCGGGAAGCTGGGGGTCAGGTTCAAGGCTGTGAGGTGCCACTTCAGCCTGGGAATTTGAATTCTTCCTTCAAAAGCGCCTGTCCCCACAATGGGCTTGTACTGGGGAAAAAATCCACACACGGGATGAGGTGCTCAGCTTCTGTGAGAGTGAGGGTTCCGAGCATTTCGTTTTTCTTCCCTTTAGATTTTGACAGCCGTGGACTAAAACGGTTGCAGGCTCAGTGCTGGAATTCCCGTACCGCCTTCCACCAGGCTCCCCGACACGGCCCCCACTTGGTGGTCTGGCAGGCGTGGTCGGTTGGGGGCGGCGTCCCGGGAACCCCGAAGCCCTAGCCTTCCCCGGCGCCCCGCGAACACCCTCTGAGGCCCCAACAGCGGAGCTCCTGGGCCACTGGGAGGCACGTCTGGAGGGTGGCGCGGGCTGGTGACGTCACACACGCGCCGCATCCCGGACGCGCGTGTGCGGCGGCGGCGGCCGAGACTCCGCTTCCCAGGGAGCCGCGCGGCGTGTCCACTTCCGGCAGGCGGCGGGGCCCGGAAGCGGCGCGCGGCGCCGGCGAATCCCGCGGCGCCAGGTCGGAGCGGGGCCGGAGTATGCGGGGCGGCTGGCGGTCTGCGGCGCGCGGCGCATTCGTTCCCCCGCGGCGGTGGCGGCGGCGCGCGGCGGCTCTCCAGTGAGCGGCGGAGGCCGGAGCGGCGGGCTGGGTGCCGGGCGGGCGGGGCCCGCGGCTGAGAGGCGGGCGGGCCGGGGGCGCCGGGCGTGGGGCAGTCATGTGGAGCGGCCGCAGCTCCTTCACCAGCCTGGTGGTGGGCGTGTTCGTGGTCTACGTGGTGCACACCTGCTGGGTCATGTACGGCATCGTCTACACCCGCCCGTGCTCCGGCGACGCCAACTGCATCCAGCCCTACCTGGCGCGGCGGCCCAAGCTGCAGGTGAGCGTCCGCGGGGTTGGGGGCCGGGGGCCGGGCGGGTTGGGGTGGGGGCCACTCCTCCAGGCCCTAGACGCCGCCGTCGCGTCTTAGTTCGGAGCTGTGGCCGCGCGAGTCGAGATGGAACCTTTCCTGGTTCCCCAGCGGCCAGGTCTTCCGCCCTCCGACTGGCCGTGGGATGCGTGTGCGTCCTGCCAGGGCCTGGCCGGGCTGACTCTCGGCGCCCCCTCCTTTCCAGCTGAGCGTATACACCACGACGAGGTCCCACCTGGGTACTGAAAACAACATCGACTTGGTCTTGAATGTGGAAGACTTTGATGTGGAGTCCAAATTTGAAAGGTATGGTTGTAGGACAAAATGCCAGTGAAAGGGAAAACATTACTTGTGTTCAGGTCGTTTGAAAGTTAGCTTTCTGTACCTAACGTGTTTACCTTAGAGAACTAGTCTTACCGAATGTCTCGAAGTAGTAGAATATCGTAAGTGGAGGCCTATGCGTGGCCTGTAAACATTCAACCTGGAAGGTGACAGGTGATGAATGTCGTTTGGGAGGTAGCTCTCAGCAGAGTCTGATGGCAGTGGGATGTCCTGCAGCGGGGAGGCTCCGAAGGAGCAGGGGCCACGCTTGAACCAGTTGAGAGCGGACAGCTCTGTAGTTTCACTACCGGGGCCGACTTGTCTTTTCCTGGTGGAAGTAGTTCGCTTAAGTTACTTGTGAAGGAAAAGGGATGGGGATGGAGGAAGCAATTTTGTGGAAAATCATAATTAAGTGACATGTGACGTTAGAATAGATCAATGTCCAAATATGTAGAGTAACTTAAAAATTACATCTAACATATGGCCTAATTTTTTTTAATTGAATAATTTTAACTGTGATTTGCTTCTCACAAGTCAACCATTTCCCTTCATTGCCTGGGAGGTATCTGAGGAGAGAATAATGAAAGCTTGAGACTCTAGCTGGACTCCACGCCCTCGAGGCGGCCAGTCCCTGTGGGTAGCTGGAGGCACTGGCAAGGCGGTTTCTGCCTGGCCTCTTTGGGCCTGTGATCTCAAGCCAGTTGCTGCCCTCTCTCTGCCTCCATGAAATAGAGGCCAGAAGTGCTGGTTTGGTCACCAGTCGGTCGTAGCTGCCCACACCTTTCAAAAATGCTCAGGATTCATCTGCATTGGGTTTAATTTCCCAGACATGAATACTGCATCTTCCATGCTGGGCCCTGGACCAGTTATCAAGGACAGCTAGTGAGGTTTTCCATTTGACCTGGCACAGTGTCAGCCTGGAGGTAGCGGGGAGAATGAGCATTCTGACACAGCCCCACCTCAAGTGTCTCTGAGTGCACGTTCCATCAGAGATACACAGCCCTGCACCCCCGCCTAAAGAGAGACACTTAAGATGTCCTGGTGGAGACGGATTCTTTCTTGGGTAGTGAGGAGCCATAGATGCCTTTGTGTTTCTCATTAGAACTTTGGCCATAAGATTTTTTTTTTTTTTTTTTTGAGATGGAGTCTCGCTCTGTTGCCAGGCTGGAGTGCAGTGGCGTGATCTTTGCTCACTACAACCTCCGGCTCCTGGGTTCAAGTGATTCTCCTGCCTCAGCCTCCAAAGTAACTGAGACTACAGGTGCCCGCCACCACGCCTGGCTAATTTTTGTATTTTTAGTAGAGACGGGTTCACCATGTTGGCCAGGCTGGTCTCAAACTCCTGATCTCGTGATCCACCTGCCTCAGCCTCCCAAAGTGCTGGGATTACAGGCGTGAGCCGCCGCACCTGGCCAACCATAAGATTTTTGAGGAGAGACCAGGCACAGTGACTCACGCCTATAATCCCAGCAGTTTGGGAGGCCGAGGCGGGAGGATCACTTGAGCCCAGCGGTTCGAGACCAGCCTAGGCAATGTGACAAACCCCCAGCTCTACAACAATTTTCAAAGTTAGCCGGGCGTGGTGGCACGCACACCTGTAGTCCCAGCTACTCGGGAGACTGAGGCGGGAGGTCCCTTGAGCTCAGGAGGTTGAGGATGCAGTGAGCTATGATTGCACCCCCTGCAGTTTCAGCCTGGTGACAGCGAGACCTTGTCTCAAAAAAAGACTTTTAGGCCGGGCGGGTGGATCACAAAGTCACAAGTTCAAGACCAGCCTGGCCAACATAGTGAAACCCCGTCTCTACTAAAAATACAAAAAATTAGCCTGGTGTAGTGGTGTGCGCCTTTAATCCCAGCTACTTGGGAGGCGGAGGCAGGAGAATCGCGTGAACCTGGGAGGCGGAGTTTGCAGTGAGCCGAGATTGCGCCATTGCTCTTCAGTCAGGGTGACAGTGCAAGACTGTCTCAAAAAAAAAAAAAGACTTTTTTATAAAGAGGAAGAAGAACTCATGTAACCATAAACAGGTGGCATGTGAGGTTTTCCACGGGGCTGTAGTATGGACGTCGGACTCTAGCGTGCAGGTGAAGAGCCAAGCGCCTGGTCCGAGGCCTACAGTTGTAGCAGCTCACCGGGCCTTTCCTCAGCTCGCACTGGAGGCCGCGCAGTCAGGGCAGACAGGCTTGAAAGTCAGTCCTTTGTGGCTGATCATCTTTTTATCTTTAAAAATGCAACACCCAAAAAAACTACCCACATTAAATTTCTGAGACTCCAGTAGCGGGCGTACGGAGCCCCTGCGGCTGCTGCCCTTCACTTCAGCGTTCTGGGATTCAGTGTGTGTGGTCAGCTGGTGTCCTGGCCAGGCCCAGAAGCTGCTTTCCAGCTGGCTGCTTCAGCCCTGTAGCCTCAGGCGGGTCATTGACCTCTCAGCCTCCTGAGATGGAGGCAGGAAGTGCGGGCCCTCTTGCTCTCAGCTGTAGGTGCCCACACCTGTGCCGAGTTCTCAGGACACACACACCCAGGACTTGTAAAGCCCCGGGCAGGTGGGTTTCATTTTTAGTACTTCTGGGCTGAAATTAGTTTATTGAAACAGCTTTGTAAAGGTATTTGAATAGTTTCTAGAGACAATGTAATATGTATGTAGTGTAAATGGTTGTTCTGTTTCAGGACAGTTAATGTTTCTGTACCAAAGAAAACAAGAAACAATGGGACGCTGTATGCCTACATCTTCCTCCATCACGCTGGGGTCCTGCCGTGGCACGACGGGAAGCAGGTGCACCTGGTCAGTCCTCTGACCACCTACATGGTCCCCAAGCCGGAAGAAATCAACCTGCTCACTGGGGAGTCTGATGCACAGGTGAGGGTCTTTGTGGGTTACTGACAACAGGCTGTGCCGCCCCATCAGAACGGACGTGTCTGTTTCCACACAGGCAGGCGATGTCTAGGGCTCCAGTGACTTTGTTGGGAGTAAAGCCATTGGAATGTTACTGGCATGCATGTCTGACTTTCAGCTGAGTCATATCCATGAGTTTGCAGACAAGTTTTATCTAAAATTAGGGACAGTTGAAGTGGTCGCTGGCATTCTCTATGCAGAGTCCCTCAGGAGTGGGCCCTCTCAGCGTCTGGAGGCACCTGCTGCACCTGGTGGGATGGAGCGCTGGTCCTGCAGAGCTGGCCTGCGGCTTCTCACCAGGAGCTCTGGGGATGAGAGCTGGGCTCATTCTGCATTCTGTAGGACTGGACTATTCCTAGATGTTTATTCTAAGAACGTAACTGGAGATGCTGGAAAAGGTAGAGGTGCGAGTTGTAGTTTGTACATCTGTAGAAAGGTGTATGTGCAAATAAAAACTGGAAGTCACTTAAGTGATCATGAACACAGGCCAAGGATAAAGCAGGGGAATTCTGATACCCACCTTGGTGTTGAGTGGAAAGTGAGATAATTTATAAAACAAGGCTGGGCGCTGTGGCTCATGCCCGTAATCCCAGCACTTTGGGAGGCTGAGGTGGGTGGATCTCCTAAAGTCAGAAGTTCAAGACTAGCCTAGCTAACATGGCGAACCCCGTCTCTACTAAAAATACAAAATTAGCCGGGCGTGGTGGCGTGTGCCTGTAATCCCAGCTACTTGGGAGGCTGAGGCGGGAGAATCGTTTGAACCCTTAAGGTGAGATGGCGCCACTGCATTCCAGCCTGGACGACTGAGGGAGACTCTGCCTCAGAAAAAAAGTTTACAAAACAAGAAAGATGGCAGCTTTCCAGGAAGAGGCTGTGAAATTGTTCCAGACAGAGAGAAAGAGAGGTGTCTCGGGGTTGATGTGGTTTTGAAAGCCCTGCCAACACCTGCTCCTGCCTCTCCCCAGTTTGCATGTGTGTCTCCTTAGGAACATCCCGCACCTGCCCCTCTCCGTGTCCCCCTCATCCGGGGCCTGCATCCCTCCTCACCAGTGTCCTGAAAAGTGGGTGGGGTGATGGGTACATAGCATGTAGCGGAGCCTCCCTTCCAGGTAGCAAATGTGAGGAGGTGTGAAAAACCAGTTGTAATGTAAATTATTGCTAAACTGTATCTTTAGGTAGGAAATGGGTAAGATCATAGTGTTTCCTAGGATGTATCAGATCTGAAACGA